GAGTTGACTGAACGGACAAACATACGAAGCGTGCAGTGCTTCCAACGCATACATACAGTGCATAACATTATCGACTAAATGGTCTAAACGTTAGAAATCTATTTTGTGGCCTTCGATATGATTAATGGCTTTTTAGTTTAGGGTTTGAAGAAGTGGTCATAAAAATATAGGTTTTTGCTAAAAAATAAGCCAAAAATGCCAGTGCACTCCTATCATTTGCATTTGTTTTGCCAAAAACACTACAATTGCAAACAGTTTGCTCATTTACTATTTGCTTAAAACTTTTACAAACATTTACCATAGAGTAGAGCACATCTCATTTGTAGTGTATTGTACTGTGTATTATAACTTTGTATTGTATAAAACGATCATTTGCTCAATAAATACTAAATTATAAATAAATGCTTTTAAAACCAATTCTACTATAAGTAGTCTATTTGGTGTACAATTTGATTTGAATTTTAAATCTAAACATTTTTGAACTCGCGATCCCTTTCCCATTACTTATGTCTTCTCAGAAGTCAATTAAGAGACTCTTTATTCAGAAGAATTGATAATTTTGTTGCAAATAATTTTCAGATACAAGTATTTCGGGTTTAAAAACTCTAAGTCAAGAGTAGAGATAAATTGAATCATAAAAGCCATGTCTGTCTGTATCTCATTATGAAAAAAGATTTCTAATTGTCAGACATACAGTGAGTTATACTGCAAAACATAATATGTTTTTTGGCGACACTTTAATTAAAATCAATTTTATTCTCATTTCATATTCATTCAAATTATACATTAAGTCTCGAAGTCATGAAAGGTATTTAAAAGTAGTAATGATCTGAAGAAAAAACTTAATAAACATATAATTTATTGATGAGTTTGAATATAAATCTCAAATAAGGTTGAGATGATTACAAAGCAATTAAATGTGGAAAAGGGTTGAACTCTTTCCACACATTATTTGTCAGATAAGAGCTGTTGTGACCACTAATGAAATTATAAGTGCAAAGGAACGGGTAGTTTGTTGTAGAGATTAATTGTAGGAACGGGTAGTTTGTTGTAGAGATTAATTGTAGGAACGGGTAGTTTGTTGTAGAGATTAATTGTGCTCTCAATTCCTATCGATTGCTTCCCAACTAATAACTAATTTAATCCAAGCCTTTGGACAAAGTCTTGTAATTAACAAAACCTGTGCCACAACTCTCAACATTAATATTTTACATTATATTATATCATATTTTGCTCATAACATAAGAATGTATTTATTTCTCAATTCAGAATCCAATCAATTAAGCAAAAGATTCGTGATTTCGGTGATAAGATCTCAATAAATATTAATATTTAGTCAATACGTTTGAAAATAAAAACTGATTAATGATTAATGCTTTGAAGTGAATTCAATGTTCGCAATACTTATGATATTTTTCGCATTTATTCATAATTATTACAAACGACTAAATGATTTCGTGACCGAAACTCATTGCACATCACTATTGGATCAGTTTTTTTGAAACTTTCAAACTAAACCACTTCGTGTTCAATATATAACAATATATCATTATTAGTATTAATTTAAAATTAATTAAAATGGTTAGTTTTTCACACTTTGGTGTCAATGAGTTTGAATCTATTTCTCAATTTAAGAGTAGGACTATAAATCAATCAAACCCTCAAACCAATGCAATTAATATTAACACTAAAGCGCATCCTTATTATCAGAGAAAATGGATCACAATTTCAAGTTTACGACAATCACATCATTATAACTAAATTGAAGTTTATGTCTCATATCGTGAAAAATAATAACAACATCTCGTTATAAATATAAATTTGATTTAATTTAATGACTTTTAAAACTTGTTCATTTGATTCAATATAAACCGTAAATATTAATAAATATTAGTCTAAATAATCTTTAAATTAATAATTAGTGTAAAGGTTCTGTAAAAACAATCTAAAAAATAATACAGTATTTCAATTAAAAACAATTTATGAATTTAAATTCAAAACTTTTGTAAAATAGCAGACAATATGAAACAAATTAGTTATTGTTAATAGAATTGAAGGCACTTTTAGTTTTTAGTTGATCTGGTGGTCGATGTGGAGGAATGTCTTGAACGCGGCGGTGGAGATGGAGCCAAATGAAGGCTATGAGGCGCTGCTCGTGAGTAACCGTAACTGAAAGAACCAGTTCTGCGAAGACTGGCGGCGATGGCTTTGGATTGAGTCCTTCGAAGGGAAGCGTATGGGGAAGAGCCGCGACTCAACATAGAAGTGGACGCGTATAACATGAGTCCGATGTCGTTGTTATTGTTAGTCATCGCTATCTTAAGGGCAGTGGAACCGTCGTTATCAACGATAGTGGGGTCGCAGTCGGGATGAGACAAGAGGAGACGCACGACATCTGTGTGTCCGTGTTCTGCGGCGCACATCAATGCAGTGGACCCGTCATTATCTTGAAGATTAATAGCTGCCCCGCACTCCAGCAATATCTTACACGTGAAGAACTGGCCGTGACTGGCGGCCAACATGAGGGCTGTCTGTCCGTTCTGGCCATACAAGCAAACCAGACGGAGATTA